CGAATCAATATTGAGAAGATATTACATTATATTAAAATCAGAAAGCTATCGACGTTAAATTTGAGGTTTTCAACAGTAATGACACCTGCGATCATTCTTCTGAAGTAATAAAATATCTGTCAGTCTAATCCTGCGATTATGTTTTAAAAAATTTGCGAATTTAGTGGTTGTTTAGTAATTTACATAACCGCGAAGTCGAATGGAAGATAAAAGGACTTGCAGTTCTTTCTCGGGGACGGTGTTATTAGCTTATTTTTGGGAACAATAGCACAACAAAAGCCATCAACAGTGTATATTCAGGGAAGTGCACAAAAAACGGCCAGGACTGTAACTTTTGAATTATTCGAGATATGGTTGAAAATTGATGGGCACCTAGTATACAGGAAACGACGACAACTCTTGATTTTTAAATAGGTATTGTATTCCATAATCGGTTAGGGATTGTCATTCGCGATAGAAAATAACACGTCGCTCCATCTGACGCCAACTATAACACTTCTGAGCGGTTTGTCTTGATGGTATGACCAATGAGCACAAACAAAAAACAAATGCGAACCAATGAAAACAAAGTAAACAGGGTGCTATGACAGCTTTGAAGAACTCCGATAGGTGGCGTACGCCTATTTTCTATCGCGAATAACGAATTCATCGAAACCGGGTTTGATAGGGTTATTTAAAACGATTACGCAGATATTCGCATGCTAAGTTTCCATATGTTCAATGAGTGTGACAGAGAATGAAGTTTTGATATTGCGAAGTCACACCTATTGAGCATATGGAAACTTCGAACGCAAATATCTTTGTAATCGTTTGAAATAACCCTATCAAACCGAGTATTTTTTTTATCGCTTGGAGCGCACGAAAGGGAATCCCTCTAATGTTCAGAGAACATCGTGCGTTCCTAGGGAGGATAGGGACAGGAGGTAGGTATTGGAATTTTTCTTGAACTTTTGGATTCGTCATGATAATCCCTAACCGATTATGGAATACAATACAGGGTGGTGCCCTATTGAAAAATCAAAAGTTGGGGTCGTTTCCGGTGAAACTGGAAATGATAGAAGAAAACTTGTTTCGTCAATTAATGAGCAATTTGGTATATTTCCTACCTACTACCAATTTTCATAAATTCAAAAGTTACAGTTCTGGCCGGTTTTTGTGCACTTCTCTGTATGTGATATATCCGGAAAAAAAGTACTCACTTTTTTTCCATAGGAAAAAAATAATTTATGAAAAGTGATATTTTATAACCTGTCAACTGAGATGAAATTTCAAACTTTTTTCCCGTCACAGAAAAAAAATATTTTGAACCTTTGTCAACAGGTACCAGGAATTATTGAATTTCATAAATTGAAACTGATCTCAGAGACAACTCGATGAAAGCTTATGTAGAGAAAGTTATCATTTCGTTAAATGCAAATTGCAAATTTTCAAAGAGTTACGAACATATTGATGTTAAACTGGAGCAAAGTTGGGTAATTCATTGTCAAACAAATTTCTTTCTCAAAATTTGGAATTATATTAAAATTTGAAATTTCGACGTGAAAGATCAAATTTCGGGATACAAATTGAAATTTCTATTGATTGAGTAAACAAAAAAAAACCGTGGCACTTCTACGCTTTCGTATTTCGGTAACAAAGTGAGCAACTTTGCCATGATTTGAGCGAGATTCACTCCGTACAGTATGTCCAGTTTTCGATGCTTTTGCGTGATATCTCAGTTATCTTTGGGGATAGAACCTTGCGGTTTTCGCGGTCCTGTGCCACTTTTTTGTGAAACTCAAGATGGCCTTATCAGATTTTGCATAACTGTTCCCGTTTCTGAGATACAGAGCGAAAATTAATACTTTTTGGACCCCCACTATATCCACGAGGTTTCTCAGCGAAAATGTTAAATTGAAATATTAACCCATGAAGAATTTTACGCAGAATCTAGTGGCATACAGAATTTTTTTTTTCGGCGTATGGTTCAGGCGATAGGACCCAAACTTATGATTTTTTAAATGGAACATCCCGTATTTTATCAGCTCATCAAATTTCTTATTTTGTTCCTTCCAAATTCTATAAAATGTATAAGTATAAAGATTCCAAAAATGCTCCATAATCACTGAAACATTGAATTTTAAACGGATTGGATGGATTTTTCATATATAAATGTTCCGATTGACGGAATATTTCCTTTAATTTTTCCATGAAGAGGACAAGAACAATACCAACACTCATTAACTAACGGAACACAAAACTTAATTACCTGATAGCAACAAATAAATAGTAATAAAAAATTGATAGATTTACTAAAACTATTGAATTTCGAAATTATTCAGTAATTAGTCAATTGTGTGTTTTGGAAAATGGACAACAATTAGAACAATTAAATGTATAAGTTACTGAATAATTTCGAAATTCAATTGTTTTAGTAAATATTCAATCAGGTGATTATTCCTCATTATGAAGTTTTTATTACTATTTATTTGTTGCTTGCAGGTACATAACTTTTGTGTTTTGTTATTAATTAGTGTTGATATTGTTTTTTTCTACAAGCGTGCGTGATTCACCCTATACCCTCACGCAATTTAGTTCGGGAAGTGTCATTTTCCGGCAACATTGCTAAGATAATAATATTGTTATGATCATAACATATAACAATATTGCTATGAAGTTCTGTATTCTGTATGCAGAGTAACTGCAAGACTGGTTATAAGTTCAAGTAATAGCAATATTGTTGAAAAATTGAGAATTTTTGAGCTGGCAACACTGTTTTCAACTCATTGTTCAAGTGTTAGGTATCGATTTTGGCATTATTTCATGAAGAAGAAGAGTTCATGATTATCTAACCTCAAATTAGTCAGTCCTGCACTGACATTTTACAAAATTATATTGTTCAAATCGAGAGATTTTGTATTTCCTGAATCTGGTCGTTGTTGTGCGACTTCTGCAAGTAATCAATCATGTCCCCAAAATGAGAAAACAACTAAAAGCCGGATGAAAATAATCGTGATTTTTTTTTATATTCTAGCAAAATAGCTTGATAAACTATCCATCAGGCAACTGAAATTTTTCTGATATGCCGAAATTGTAGTCTCATATTTCCTCTACGAATTGGAACTTCAAGCAAAGGTTTTCAAGTAGTTGGTCACAGTAGTGAACCTATCCTATATGTTTGTAATCACCATTCCAAGTTTTTCAATAATTCTTCTATGAATTGAATCTTTGAGGAAAGGTTTTCGAGTAGTCAGTGACAAAACTGAACTCTCATATGTTTTTAATCCACTATTTTCTGAATTTTCATACAGTTGGAAGAATTTGTAGTGCAAAAACAAAGAATCCACTACCTTGTTATAAGATAGCAAGCACAAAATTGATGTTGCCGAGATAGCAAAAAAACTGACCAGATGTCGTTGAAATTGACAGATCATATTGCCAAAAATCGATGATTACAATTCCACTTTTTCGAATATTGCTATGATAGCAATATCTTCCCTACAACCATATTGCTAGATGCAAACAGAATCGACCCGAATATGGCAAAATATAAGTGGTAGGTGATGGAATATGAGAGTTTGAGTTTGTTTGTTGCAGTATTAAGTATGTATGTTCAGAATCATCCATCAAACTGTACTATTTATTGTGAAAATTAAGAAATATTGAAAATTAAAAATTGATTATTATGAAAAAACCCCAATAGATTTGGATTGATCTGAAGGGAAACGATTATTGTTGTAATGCCAATCAATACTCGAATGAGTTTGTAATAATTGTCGAAGTGACAGACACAGCGTTACTGTCATCTTCGATTCAGTGGAATTGCCACAATGTGATCAAAAACTTCCATCTATAGGGATGCGATACAGATGCTTTATTGCCAACGAAGTGACCATTCCAGAACACGTGATTTTGACATGGTTTCTTGAGGGGCACACAAACTATCTGTTAGGTTACCTTTGATGAGCATAGCCCTGGCCATCCCTTCCATATCCACATAATAATGACAGTTTCACCAAACAAAATTATGAAATTCTTTCTGGTTCCAACTCTGATTCCAAGGAAAACGATCCTACTAATTCTGGTTTCATGTGACAAATTTTGACAAAATACAATGTTTGCCCCTCACCAACCTGTCAAATGACGTAATTCTGGAATGATTAAGTCTTAACAAAGGTATGAGAAGCTATATACACGCGTTTTATTGAATGGTGCAATAATAAAGAAATGAAAATACCGAATAAAGAAGAAGTATTTTTGGCTCATTTCCTAGAAGTGTCTGAATCCTAGAGACCAAACACCTTATGGGCCTGATGGCTTCCGCAATTAACCTACATAATGCGTCAAACTGTAAGTTCACAATAGCTATTACTAATAATTAGTAGATTGAGAATATATTTCTCTTGTTAGTTGTTCCTATTGGCATGAATAATGAATTGAACAAATCAATCAATTCCCTACGCTTGTAGAAAAAATATTGTTCCTAACTCATGCGGAAAGTCTTTCCCGCACTCGACTGCTTGCCCGAACTCCGCTTCGCGTCGTTCGTGTCAACGGCAGTCGCGTGCGGGAAAGAATAACTTTCCGCACTTGTTAGGAAAATTACTATTGTTCTCTTCATGGAAAAATCTATCGAATTATTCCTTAAGTTCGAACTTTCATATAAAAAATCCATCAAATCCGTTCAAAATTCAATGTTTTTGTGATTTTTGAACATTTTTGAAAATTTTATATCTATACATCATAAATTATTTTGAAGGGAACAAAGTGAAGACTTTAATGAGCTTATAAAATACAGGGTATTCCATTTGGAAAATCATAAGTTTGAGTCGTATCTGCAAAACTGTACCCCAAAAAAAATTTAGTGCGCCACTGGATTCTGCGTAAAATTCTCTATCGGATAAGATTTGTATTTGTCATTTTCGCTAAGAAACTTCATAGATATAGAGGGGGTTCAGAAAGCATAGATTTTCAAAATTATCCTTGCATCTCATAAACGGAAAACTTCAATCAATAAATATTCAAAAATCAGTGGTATGATCCTCTTTTACAGTGACCACATCGAAATTCGGCACTTTAACCATGCCATTTTCATTGTTATTATTCACTTTTCTTCCTAACAGTGACTTTATACTTTCATCAACTGATTTTTTATTTTCATTTCGATGTGAAAACAAATGCCTCTTGAGATCAGCTTCGTTATTAAAAGACAAAGAACATTTGGTGCAATAGAATTCCCTAGAAACTACGTTTTTTTTCAAACACGATTTATTTTGTTGGGTAAATTGGTGTTTAAACAGATGATTTTGTAGTAATATTTGAGTAGAAGTCTTGAATTGGCAACGTGAACAACTATACTCGGCTTTATCAATTTGTTTATGCCCTTTTGGCACTCCTTGGTGAGTTTCATGATGAACTGACTGGAGCCTATCTTCGACTGCATTGACATCTCCTTTCATGATATCTCTTTCATGACAACTGTAATATTAATAGATAAAGAATTATTTTTTACATTATTTATATGTACAGGGTGATTCAAACTTCCCGCCCTTGGCTTATAACAGGAAAAGGAAAACTGCAAATTCAAATTTGGCAGAGGGGATTTGAATGACTGTGTGTAAGGTAGATTTTTACGTATTCAAACATTTTTTAACCTTTCTGAAAATGTAGGAAATGACGTTAAAAATGCCATTCTACAGTCACAATTTTTTCTATATATTCTGAAAGCACATATTTTTCTAAGCAACTTCCATACGAAAAGATTTACTCCATCTTTATTTGGTTGAGAGCTATGGGACTTCAAATTTCATATTTTTAAATAAAGCTCAACTCACCCAACCGTAATAAAAATTAAGTCAACCGGGTAGCAAATGGGCATCAATTGTTCAAAGCTGATTAAATGAAATAATATTTTATCAATAGTCTCGTTTCGCAGTTATTGTTAAAAAATAATTGAAATTATACCAAAAAATCTCAAACACTTTCAAATTGAGAAGACCATATAATTGCTTATTTATAACGATTGAAAGCAACTTAAACAACAACATCAACAATAAAGCCAGAAAAACGATTATTACAATAATTTAAATCTATTACTTCAAATTTTCAGTATGCCCACCTCCAACTTTCAAACAATTACGCCTTGCTGTAATTTCAGTAACTCTTCTTAATACATTCCTTGACGAGTTTTGAGAAGCATTTTGAAATTTTTCCTTCAAATGGTCAATGTCCCTTGAAACAGTTTTATACACCTCGTTTTTAAGTGTTCCCCAGAGATAAAAATCTAATGGTGTTAGGTCTGGCGATTTTGGCGGCCAAAGTATGGGTCCATTAGTACGAATCCATCTGCCTCCATAAACGTCATTCAAAAACTGCTGGACCGTTTTAACTCTATGTGCCGGAGCACCATTATGTTGATAGCATAGATTTGCACGCAATTGAAGTGGAATATTCTCAAGAAGTTCTGGAAGATTTTCTTGTAAAAACTGGAGGTATGGGCAAACTATATGCCCTCCAATCATACCGCACCAAACGTTAATGCCAAAATAGCCTTGATTTTCCATCTCATTCACGAAATGTGGGTTTTCATTGGACCAATAATGCTCATTTTTGCGATTTGGTTTTCCGTTGCTAACAAATCTACTCTCATCTGTCCAGAGCATATGTTCGAAGATCCTGTGGTCAAATATATGAAGAGCCTCCGTTATTTGAGCTATAAAATTCAGACGCCTTTCTCTGTGCAACACACTCAGTCTTTCCAAATTATGCAATTTATAATCGTGATATCCAATTATTTTCAATATGCGCTGGATTGTTGAATATGTCATATTTAATTCACAACTTGCCTGTCTTATGGAATTCCGGGGATTTGCTTCAAATTACTCAATAACTGCAGATACGGTTTCCTTCATTGCCCTTGCCGGAACAGGCGTACTTTTTTTCGATAACACATCTGTATTGTTCCTCAAAAAACGTTCAAGTCGTGGAAACATTTTTTTATCAGGTAAAACACGTTAGGGATATTTCACACCATACAGTTCTCTGGCAATTCAACAATTTTTTTCTTCATTATGTGTATACATTTTAGCAATTTGAGAGTTTAATTTTTCATATGAATGAAAAATGTATCCCATCAATTGTTGGGGGGGGGGGGCAGGTTGCCGTGCGGACAGAGTGTCAATATTCTAATCTGCATTCGCTTGCCGGTCTTGGATTCGATTCCCAGCGACTGCAGAAATTTTTCTGATGGCCCAAGAAAGTGTTTGGGATCACACGTTAAAAGGTAAGGCCCAAGACAAGACAAGACTCTTCGAAGACTTCTGAGGGTTGCTCGTGAGGGGGCAACCGAATGACGGATAAACTTTAGAACAAAGAACAAAAATTACTATTGTTTACAAAACAATTTATCAACGCGTTTGTTACCCGGCCGACTTAAAATTTCATTACGCCGCCGAGTCGCCCATTTGCTACCCGGTTGGCTTTATTTTCATTATGGTGGGTCAGTTGAGATTCATTTCAAAATAACAACTTTAGAGTCCCATAGCTTCCAACCAAACAAAGATAGAAAAAAACTTTATGGAAGAAAGATCTTCGAAAAAATACCTTCTTTCAGAATATGAAAAAAAATATTATTTTGTGGAAAATAGTTATTTTTGTATCTAGAGCGCGAAATGCTACTTTGGTGATCGAGATCTGATTTTTTCAACGAGGCGTAGCCGCGAGTTAAAAAATTAGTCGAGATGACCAAAGTAATTCGCGCTCGAGTTGCAAACAATTTTTTTCTACAAACGTCAAAAAATATAGTTCTAAAGTGAAAATATGCTTAGCTTGATATTCAAAATATTGTTGAACTGGCTTAAAAGGTCTCCCCCTATACTCCCTAGGTATGCACGATGTTCCACGAACATAATAGGAATTTCCTTTCGTGCGCTTCAAGAGAAAAAACAAAGTTATTGTTGAACATTCAGAAATAAATGATTTTGTGGATGTCTGCTCGATTGAGGACCATAAAGTTGAAATATAAATATCTCATATATTTTACATAACAATGCGCGAAGTAGGTACTTCGCGCACAGTTTTACTTCGCGCATTGTTTTGTGCAAGGAATCATGGTAACGTAGAAAACTGAAAAAAAGTGTCACTTCGCAATTTGTTATCAATGCGCGAACCTTGTCATTTTTTGACGTTTGTAGAAAAACTATTTTTTTCGACATACTTTTCGCCATTTTGAGGAAGGTTAAAAAATGCTTGAATACGTAATACAACACACACAGCTATTCAAATTCCCTCTACCAAATTTGAATTTGCAGTTTTCCTTTTCCTGTTATAAGCCAAGAGCGAGAAGTTTGAATCACCCTGTACAGGATGAGTCGTTACTATTGGAACATAGACTGAGGGCGGATTGTTTGGGCTGAAATATGACGATAGGATATGCCTTAGTAAAATATTGCTGTGCAAAAAGATACAGGGCGTTTCAATGGAGAAAGAATTTAACATAAACTCGCACCAAAATGTATTCACTGACAGAACAGGAATTCACCAGCAACAATCATCTGACAGTCCAGAGCACACTCTTCATGAATTGAATTATATCTGAAATCACCTTCCATAACTTTGACCTCTTCACTTGCGTTTTCCTTGAAAATGGTTGAGAATCTCTTTTTAAAACAAGAGTACCAAAATTACATAGAAATGAAGTTCATGTCATATTTTCTCATCAAAATCACTACAAAGTTCTGTCAAAAAAAGTTATCAGTCGATCTCATCAACAGGAATCATTCACAAGGCGCTCCCTGTAACTGAAACTGTAGAATAATACAAGAAACGATATTCTCTGTATAAAATTATGCCTTTGTGCCGATTTTGATTACAATTGATAAATATAGTGGAATTATTAGCGAAAAAACAAATGCAACTTCAACACCCTGTATCTTTTTCCACAGCAATATTTTATTGAGGCATATGCAGTTCTATCGCCATGTTTTGGTCCAAACAATTTGCCCTTAGTCTATGTCCCAATAGTTATGACTCACCCTGTATCAAAACTAGTTTTTTCACATAAGTATCGATGAGGATTTTGAAGGAACAATCTTTCAAATGAGGTGAAGGTAATAGTTATTTTTGTATCTAGAGCGCGAAATGCTACTTTGGTGATCGAGATCTGATTTTTTTAACGAGGCGCAGCCGAGTTAAAAAATAGTCGAGATGACCAAAGTATTTCGCGCTCGAGTTGCAAACAAAATTTTTTCTCCAAACGTCAAAAAATATGGTTCTAAAGTAAAAAATATGCTTAGCTTGATAAGAAAAATAGTGTTGAACTGGTTTAAAAGGCCTCCTCCTACCCTCCCTAGATACGCACGATGTTTCACGAACATAGAAACATAAATATCTCATATATATTACATAACAATGCGCTAAGTAGGTACTTCGCGCACTGTTTTACTTCGCGCATTGTCTTGTGCAAGGTATCATGTTAACGTAGGAAACTGAAAAAAAGTGTCAATTCGCAATTTGTTATCAATGCGCGAACCTTGTCATTTTTTGACGTTTGTAGAAAAATAGATTTTATTGATGGTTTTGGTTTTGGCTGTGTCAAGTCATTCGTTCAACCACAGTGGTGATACCAGAATGGCCAATGTTCGAGTCGACTCCCATCAAAAGGTAACGTGGTAACTTTGTGGGCAGGTTTGATACGTGCCCGATATTCCCAAATAGCTGGTTGGTCAGACTGATGGTCAGACTTCAAACTTAACGTATGTGCCCGGTCAAACCCAGGGCCGGACCGAAGGTACAAAACGGATCGGGAGTATTTCTCAAAGCATGCCGATTTACCTGTCCAAAAGTGTGTGTTGCATGCGTTTTTTTTTTTTCTCAAATTTCAAGGTCGACTGCTTAATATATGCAATATTGGGATATTCACCACCAAAGATATCAAGACATCGTCAAGTACTTGTATTGTTGATTAAAAAATAAAACGGATTTATATAAAGATGAAACAAAATAAATAAACTTCTTTGATACCAAGAACAATGAACAAAATATAATAAACATGAAAGAGGCGCGTTTACATCAGATTTTTTCCATAGAGGGGGAGGGGGTAATGCGTGCCACGGGGCTGACAGAAAGCAAAGAAGTGCCGCAGGCGGAATTTTTTGTTGTTCAAGGTCAAATGCCTTCAAATTGATAGTTAGGTTTGTCAGAGGGATTATGATAAAGGTGGAAAAAAATGATTTCAAATTCACATGAGAATTTAAATTTCCTAATAGCAACAAATATCGAATTTTAATGTAAAGTTGACTTCGACCTGAAAAATGCTTGAGTGTTATTCGGCAGGATAATTTAATGAATACGTAAATACCATTATTGTTGATGGTTTTTCAATTTCTTCACTCGAAGACTCTCCAAATCGCGACATTTCCACAGATTAGATACTTTTCTGACAAAGCAAATTTGGAAAAAAATGACATAAAAATCATCAAAGATTTGTTTACAGTTTTGGTTGTCATGCATTCGAATGTTAAATTCCCGTTCTGTTGCTGGAAAAGTTAGAGTAACATTTTTTCGCTGTCATAATGACAATATCACAGCGGCTTACGGGATATCATGTACAGTGTGTCCAGTTTTCGATGCTTTTGTGGGATATCTCAGTTATCTTTGGAGATAGAACCTTGCGGGTTTCGCGGTCGTGTGCCACTTTTTTGTGGAACTCAAGATGGCCTAATCAGATTTTGCATAACTGTTTCCGTTTATGAGATACAGGGCGATTTAGAAAATTTATACTTTTTGGACCCCCTCTATATCTACGAAGTTTCTCAGCAAAAATGTCAAATTAAAATCTCATCCCATATAAAAAGTTCACGCAAAATCCAGTGGCGCACCCAAAAATTTTTTTCGGGGTATGGTTTTGGAGATACGACTCAAACTTATGATTTTTTAAATGGAACACCCTGTATTTTATAAGCTCACAAAACTCCTCATTTTTTTCTTTTCAAAATGATTTATAATGTATGTATATGAAATTTTCAAAAATGCTCTGAAATCACTGAAACATTGAATTTTAATAGTGGGCTATGGATTTTTCTTATAAAAAAGTTCCAATTGAAGGAATATTCGTTTTGATTTTTCCATAAAGAGGACAAAAACAATACCAACACTAATTAACTAAGAAAACACAAAAATTATGTACCTGATAGCAACAAATAAATAGTAATAAAAAGTTCATAATGTAGAATAAGCACCAGATCAAATATTTACAAATACAATTGAATTTCGGAATAATTCAATAACTTATTCATTAAATTGTTCAAATTGATGTGTCCATTTTCCATAACACACAATTGACACAGTTTCTCAATACGTCTTGATACAGTAAGAGTCACAAATATCTTGAAGAACTTCGTGCAACAACAGAGGCAGTTTGCCAGGAATTACAAAGACATCCTTTAATGATTTTGAATGCATTAAGACGTATTGAGAAAGCGTGTGAGGGAAAGTGGACATCAATTTGAACAATTCAATGAATAGGTAAGTTACTATTCAATTGTATTAGTGAATATTAAATCAGGTGCTCATTCTAGAATATGAACTTTTTATTACCATTCATTTGTTGTTATCAGGTACCTAATTTTTGTGTTATCTTAATTAACTAGTGTTGGGATTGTTTTTGTCCTTTTCATGGAAGAATCAAATGAAATATCCCTTCAATTGGAACTTTTTTAAAATGAAAAATCCATAGCCCATAATTAAAATTCGATGTTTTAGTGATTTTGGAGCATTTTTGAAAATTTTATACCTATTCATCATATTTCATTTTGATGGGGAAAAGATAAGAAATTTAATGAGCTTATAAAATACATGGTGTTCCATTTAAAAAATCATAAGATTGAGTCGTATCTCCGAAACCATACCCAGAAAAAAAAATTTGAGTGCGCCACTGAATTCTGCGTAAAATTCTGTATTAGATTCCAATTTGACATTTTCGCTGAGAAACTTCGTAGATATAGAGGGGGTCCAAAAAGTATAAATTTTCAAAATCGCCCTGTATCTCATAAACGTAAACAGTTATGCAAAATCTGATTAGGCCATCTTGAGTTTCACAGAAAAGTGGTACAGGACCGCGAAAACCGCAAGGTTCTATCTCGAAAGATAACTGAGATATCACGCAAAAGCATCGAAAACTGGACACACTGTACATGAATTAAATTGTCGCAATGAAAAAAGACATTTCACGCTGAAGTTTTGGCATTTTTTGGCGTATAATGGCCTCGGCTGACGCCAATATTATGCCCTTGATACATAAATAACTATTTCAGAAGATATTAATATGAAAGCCTCCACGTGATCTTGGGACAGACAGTTTCATAATCTATTCAACATTAATTTTAATTTAGAAAAGTACTTCTTACATAGTTACATGCAACTTGTGAAATAGGCACGTCAATGAATATCTTTATACCTTTTCTAGATCATGGTAGAATAAACATGCGTTTGCATGAAATTTAAAATTTCTACCAAATATCGGGTTCAAAACAAAGTCCGGCCCTGGTCAAACCACAGACTTGACACAGCCTTCATGTGCGATTGCTCAACCTACAGACATAATTTGATTTGATAAATTTCCTGTGAAGACATGAAATTGTTCAATTGAATCTACTAACCCGGATTCAACAATAATGGGATTCAATGGATTAATCTCACTGTGTTCTTGTACTATGTGAGTATTGTACTCATTTTTCGATTTAGCTCCATATCCATAATTTGATGTTTTTTCTGGAGTTACTTGCCCAGGATGCTCCATTTCACAATGTCGAACAAGACATTGCTCCACCTGAAAGAATAGCCTTATTTGTACTTTCTTAGGTATATACAAGGTTTCCTAGAGCAACATACCATAAAATCTACTGGGTGAACTAGAGACCAAATTAGGCTGGTTGAAATTAACTTATCTCTATACGAAAAGGCGCCGTTGAGCCGTGAGAGGGCGATGAGAAACAATTTTATTTACAGATTTTCTTTAATATTTCGGAATTCTGGAACGGAAATGCTCTGAGATTCATAGGGCAATTTACTATAGTGAATGTGCATGGAAAACATATGTCTTACCAATTCAATCAATATACAGGGAGTTTGGTATTTTGCATTGTCTTTAAGAAAAATCAAAGTAACTTTTTTGGAGTACGGCACTGACCATATTTTGATATTTCGATGCATGACAAAATTAATCATCTCACTTTTTTCTACCTGGTGTTTTTATAATGGGCGGTGGACTGATAATGAATTATTGGCATCCAATCATCCCACTGTGTCGTTAGGGAACTAAATTAAATTTTGCAACACGTCTCACGCTTTTTTCATGTAGATAATGAGTCTATGCGTTGTTCAAAATTGTTGAATTTCAGAGCTCTAAGATACTGGCCCACATTATTAACTTGTCCATCACTTAGGGAAAATTTCCTTCGTGCCTTAAATTAGCATCAGTTATTTTACTTTACAAAAAAGGTGATCCCAGTGATGTCGAAAACTATCGACCGATTTCTTTATTGAGCATTTTTTCATAAATAATAGAAATCGTTGTTGCACAAATGATTGAAGCATACCTGTGTTCATTCAATATAATCGCAAATAATCAACATGGTTTCAGAAGTGGATGCTCCACAGAAACCAGCGTAGCCGCTCAGCATATCTATGAAAAAATGGATCGCGGTGAATATGTGGTGTCCCTACTATTCGACTTAACAAAAGCATTTGACTCAGTCGACAAGACGTTTGTGTCAGAAAAATTAGATAATCTTGGAATTCGTGGTTGTCTTGATGATTGGTTCCACTCTTTCCTAGAACACCGCATAGTCAAAATTGATGGTGTTTTATCAAACAAGTTTGACATTGATCTTGGAACTCCTCAAGGGAGTGTTCTTGATCCATTAATCTTCTTAATGTTCATCAACGATCTTCTTAAACATTTAACTGAAGCTAAGGCTCTCATGTACAGGGTGGGCGTTTTCACCGTCTATCTCAATAACTAGAGGAGTTATCGAAAAACCGATATACATGTTCCGGGTTCGATTTTGGAGAAACCTCGGGTGGCATAATCACAATATCGACATCTTCATTCGATTTATAGATACAGGGGGAAATTGAAAATTTGCCGATTTCGATTTCATTTTCTGACTACTTTACGGTGAGAGGTATCAAAAAATTTCAAACGTATATTTATACAGTATGATGCGTGGAATCCATTGGCATCATCATAAATTTTATACAGGGTGATGTTGAGAAGATAAGGCAGCCAATTATGTTTTTTCTAATGGAACACCCCGTATATTTTGGCACAGTTGAATAGTCCCAGGCGTTCTCATTACAAATATATACATAACCCTACCTTTTCCTTCCACAATTTCAGATATATTCGCAAAAATATATTCATTGTGTCACATTTCTTATGGTTACACCCCCGTATCGCCTGTAAAAATAATTGAGGTAGGATTCAAAAATTCGCAACTGTCAGAAAGATACAAATGATACATTCATGGAGTCATGGACCAAGTGGGATCATCTCCAATGATAACACTGCTCGCCAGCAGCTATGGAATCATCGATATTTCTGGATAATGCTATCAACAGGCAGAATCGAGGTTGAAAATGACACTCTGTATATATTCACCAAAGGTGGAAAATGAATATCATAGGGAATGTTATTTCCAGACAAATGGATATTTGGTGAGAAATAAAATAGGAAATTATTCGATTTGATATCATTGGTATCAAGACATTCAAACTATTTAAGATACAGAAATAAGAGGAATAATTTATTTATTTAAGAAATAACAACGTATAAAGATATGGCTTCATAGAATATGTTCAAATTGTCTTCCATTTTGGCCTAAGCAAACTTCACATCGTTTCCTTACAGAATTCACTGCGTTGGTGATATGAATGGGTCTCACTTTTTGGAATGCTGAAATAACGTCTTCACGTAGTTCTTCAGCGTTTTGGTGATTTCGGCGGTATATAATATATGGTTTTTTAGAAATCCCCACAAGAAAAAATCCGAATTTATCTTCTGACGGTTCTGAAATCTATGCTTGATAGAAGTACCCCATACAAAAATACAAACATACAAACATACAAACATACAAACATACAAACATACAAACATACAAACATACAAACATACAAACATACAAACATACAAACATACAAACATACAAACATACAAACATTCAAACATACAAACATACAAACATACAAACATACAAACATACAAACATACAAACATACAAACATACAAACATACAAACATACAAACATACAAACATACAAACATACAAACATACAAACATACAAACATACAAACATACAAACATACAAACATACAAACATACAAACATACAAACATACAAACATACAAACATACAAACATACAAACATACAAACATACAAACATACAAACATACAAACATACAAACATACAAACATACAAACATACAAACATACAAACATACAAACATACAAACATACAAACATACAAACATACAAACATACAAACATACAAACATACAAACATACAAACATACAAACATACAAACATACAAACATACAAACATACAAACATACAAACATACAAACATACAAACATACAAACATACAAACATACAAACATACAAACATACAAACATACAAACATACAAACATACAAACATACAAACATACAAACATACAAACATACAAACATACAAACATACAAACATACAAACATACAAACATACAAACATACAAACATACAAACATACAAACATACAAACATACAAACATACAAATATACAAACATACAAACATACAAACATGCATACCAAGCTAATATATTATGCGTCTTAATAATTGGAGGAAAAATCAGTGAGAATGACAAAAAATAGATAGAATAGTTTTTGCCGTGTCTAGTGTTCCTACCTTGGTTTTGAAATTACAAAAAATGCACCTCATCGCCTTCGTCAGACAAATTCCATGCTTGGTTTTCATGTGATTGATGAAAACCGATTCCCATTTGGTTTTGTACGTGACGCAGAGGTGGCAACGCATGTAGGCGTTGTTGCCAGACAGGTGTTTCGTTTTGTGGGTTCGCAAGTTGTGAGCATACTGGGTTTTGTACTTGCACTGGTCGCACCGATACATTTTGGGCCTGAAACGAATAATAATATCTGGATTTCTCTATCGAAATGAGTCACCATACCGGGTGACACGAAAACAATTCACCCCCCTGTATCTTCGTTGCTGGATGTTCCAAATTCGGTACATCGATTTGATTTCATGAGTGTATAATTTCGCTAGTATCAGACCAAATATGACACTTCCGGTTTGGCCGAAAGTGCATCCAATTTTTTTCATTCCAACTATTAAGTTTTTTTTTGTATGATTCAGTATGTATATCACACTCGTACTTTCAATCTAGAATCTACAATTTTGAATGAATTCGTCATCTTGAATTTCCAATTTCTGACGAAAGAATCATAATCTCCGACCCCAAAAACCCCCAGACATCAATTTTGATTCGAACCATACCATAAATACAAAATCGTCCGCCATATTGGATCCGCCATCTTGAATTCTCAATTAACTAATTTCTTACGACCGATTCTCAGACCTACCAAATATATTCAAGAATTTTCATACGAATCGGTCAAGCCGTTTCGAAGGAGTTTGGTAACAAACACCATGACATGAGAATTTCACTTAAGAGATTAGGTAATCCCAATTTTTTTAATTTTCCGTACAATTTTCTAAATTTTTTCTATCATAAGAACCTTCTCCTGACAATAACAAACAAAACAAGAAAATAATTAGTGAAATCGGTCCAGCCGTACACGCGTGATGGCGTGACCAAGGGAAATAGGGATTCATTTTTATACAGGGTGTATCTGAATAACACCGAAAAAATTCAAGGGGCAATTCCTTGTGCTATTTTAGGAAATAAAGTGCATATGAACATGTGTCCTGACTTGCTTCGTTTTCGAGATACAGGGTATCAATATTTTCATGAAAAATCGTTTTTTCATTTATTACTCAATTGTCTTTTCATCAATTTCAATAAAACGTTGTGGTTTTGTTAATAGTAGTATAGAGCTTCTTCTGGTGCAATTAGATTCGAAATAATATTTCCAGTTGCGTCACAGTGGGTGGATTTATCGTTATTTATGGTGAATGTCATTGTACGCCATGGGTTTTTCTGAGATTTATATTTCTATTAGATTGAACTATTGAAATAACAACTTCTTTATCCTTTGCGTGATTTTAGTATCTAGCTTATTTTTTGAGGAAACAATAAACATTCGATTTGACTCCAAATTTTAATGTAGGTGTTTTCAAGACCTCCATTGAGATTACTCAATAACCCCAATTAGAATCATTTTGAAATTTTGGGGCTTTTTCAGTCTCCATCCATACTGAATTTTTGCACCATGCAAGCTTATACAGGGGGGTTATAAATAAAGTTGTACCGGGTGGGGACTTTTCTCAGGGGATGAGTAAATAAATGTGGTTCTTCAAGAGTGTTTCTTTGTAGAATGTTGTTCATTATATAACTAGGGGGGGCAGAGATTGTAGGAGACATACTGAAAACTAATACCATGGTTTAACACCTGGATGTTCGGCCTTTGCCATACTTAACGCTACATGCACATTTTCTCGATTGACTGATCTATAATAGAAAATATCTTTGGAAAGCTCGCTGATAGACAGAGAGCCAGAGCCAAAAAGATTATCTGAATTTAGTAAGCCTAGTTTTTTCACAGTTTATTACAGTGTTTTTGTACACAAGCATACTGCGGTCAGTCAAGCGAAACTGAGACAGGTGTCCCTGGTATACTATCGAAGTTGTCGTTCCTACCGAGGTAATGCAATGAGTTTACTAAGGCTGAAAATCATTATACACATTGTATATTGCATATGAATGAAAATTATGAAAGTCAGTCAGCTGACTGTGGGTGTTTCCTTCCATTGAGATTACTTCATAACCCTAATCACAATCATTTTGAAATCTTAGGGCTCCCTCAGACTCTAACCACACTGACTTTTGGCACCATTGAAGCTTATACAGGGAGGTTATGAATAAAAACAATTGATACTTCCAACTTTAACATCCTGTGTCTCAAAAACGGAGCAAGTTAGGATACATGTTTATATGAACTTTATTTCGAGCTTTATTTGCTAGAATATCACAAGGAATCACCCCTTGGATTTTTAGGTGTTATTTAGATACACCCTGTATAGATAGATTAATATATTACCCGATGGTATCGTCTTCATCTTCTTCTTCTTCCTCATTATCTCGATTCGTAATATCCATTGATTCTTCATATTCAGATTTAATCTCGATTTCTTCATTATTCAATTCGATTTCACTGTCCCCTGAGTAGTGTTGCGCGTCTCGTCTAGTCTCAGGATTGTCTTCATCATCGCTGTTCGTGGTCATATCGATAACGCCATCAGTTTCTACTGGCATCTTTCGTCTTTTTTTGGTCATTTTGGAGATGAACTCTGGCCAATCGGGAAAAATCGACGGTATAGCATCAGGTTTCAGCTTCGGTCTTTGGTATTCTTCCTAAATAAAATTTCATTCACATCTTTCAAGGCGGAAATTAAATAATATATGATCTGCGAAGAGTGCAAAGTGATAGATTTCTGTTCTGTCATTTCAGTGTATACCAGGCAGTGGCTGCTGGTGCTCCATTCAACAGGGGAAATTGGGAAATTCTACAAAAAAAACTGACGACACTTACAAGGTCCTTGTTCATAGAAAAGATGCGCTGATATTGTCATATTTTCAATGGGCATCGGACAAAATAACAACAATTACTAATACTCACAACAAAAGGGGAGGCCTTTCAAGCCAGTTTAACCATATTTTTTGACGTTTGTAGAAAAAATGTTGTTTGCAACTCGAGCGCGAAATACTTTGGTCATCTCGACTATTTTTTTAACACGGCTACGCCTCGTTAAAAAAATCAGATCTCGATAAACAAAGTAGCATTTCGCGCTCTAGATACAAAAATAACTATTTTTCTACGAACGCGTTCGCGCATTGATAACAAATTGCGAAGTGACACTTTTTTTCAGTTTCCTACGTTACCATGATACCTTGCACAAAACAATGCGCGAAGTACCTACTTCGCGCATTGTTATATAATAGTTATTTATGTAATAAGGATCATAAAGACGATCATTATGGTACAAGTCGTGAATGTTATCGGGCGAGGCGTAGCCTTTATATCAATACATTTTCGAAAAATTAAAAACTGCATTTTCGACATGTCACAATGACAACTATTTTCAAAGGAGTAAGTATTGTGTAGTTTCAAATATTAGTAGGTGAGTGAGCTGTGCTTTGCCATTATATTAAAATTACAAATTGTAGTAATTGTTCTTTTACCATTTATAATAAATAGTTTTGTACATAGTTATGCATTTTGAATAAATTTTTTTGATCAAACATGTTTTCCTTATAGAATTTCATTATGGTACTTAGTACCATAATGAGCTTCCTTATGTCATCAAAATTGAGTGACATAACGTTGTCATTATGACATTACATCAGATAAAATATATGAGATATATATATTTCAACTTTATGGTCCTCAATCGAGCAAACATCCACGAAATCATTTATTTCTGAATGTTCAACAATAACTTTGTTTTATCTCTTGGAGCGCACGAAAGGAAATTCCTATTATGTTCGTGGATCATCGTGCGTACCTAGGGAGGATAGGGGGAGGTCTTTGAGGCCAGTTCAACACTATTTTTTATATCAAGCTAGGCATATTTTTACTTTAGAACTATATTTTTTGACGTTTGTATGAAAAATGTTGTTTGCAACTCGAGCGCGAGATACTTTGGTCATCTCGACTATTTTTTTAACTCGGCTACGCATCGTTAAAAACATCAGATCTCGATCATCAAAGTAGCATTTCGCGCTCTAGATACAAAAATAACTATTTTCCATAACTAATTTCGGCGACATCGAAAAACGCCAGGTTCGATGACGTCATGAACCGACCTCTGGCATTCGCATAAAAAGTAGGACCACATATTTCGACGCTGCCAGATTTGTAACTAGTAATTACCTTATGAAATCCAATATGACCAATGACAATAGTATTCACATTCACAGAAAAAAATAGTTCGACCTGGTCCCTAATAATCACTTATTAAATACTTATTCAGGGTGTTTCAAAAAAACCTGACCCTATTGCTAGGGTAGGTAGAATATTGCAAAATAAGTTGGGTTTGCTCAGTGAAAAAATGTAACGGCATCCGTTCTCCAGATACAAGGTGTTGAAAAATTTTTTTTTTGCACATTTTTTACGATTATGTCGAAACTACTAGCAACATTGTGATGAAATATTGTATGGATGTGTTCTGGAAGCTGAAAAAATAGTTCGATCCTGGTTCCTAATAATCACTTATTGAATACTTATACAGGGTGTTTAAAAAAACCTAACCCCCTTGCTAGGGTAGGTAGAACATTGCAAAATAGTTGGGTTTGCTCCTCGGTTTGCTCAGTGAAAAAATGTCGTAACGGCATCCGTTTTCCAGATACAAGGTGTTGAAAAAACATTTTTTTGCACATTTCTTATGTTGAAACTACTAGCAACATTGTGATGAAATGTTATATGGATGTGTTCTGGAAGCTGACACACCGCATGAATTTGTTTTTATATGTGACATTCATAGAGGGCACTAGTTACACGGTTCGTACCGAGTACTAAAACATGTATTTTGACGTTCAAGTGCACTCTTAATGATATACTTTTGGAAAACTCAAGAATTTGTACTCAATCATCGGCTAAGTTTTTAGGGCTCTATGTGGATGACAGTCTCTCATTCAACACCCACATTACAAATTTATGCAAAAAATTATCTTCTGGTTGTTTTGCAGTAAGAGTCATCTCATCTGAATTGAATATATCTGCAGCAAGATCAGTTTATTTTGCCCTGATTGACTCAATTTTTAGATATGGAGTTTGTTTTTGGGGGAATAGTTCTCAATTTCTTTTGAACTCTGTGTTCATTTTACAAAAGAGGGCGGGTAGATACCTTAGTAAAGCTAAATTCAGAGAACCATGTCAACCCTTATTAGTGGCACAGAAAATACTGACATTGACTTGCATCTTCATTTTTTTTTCCCTACTAATTCCTAGAAGTACATTAATAAAAAAGTCTTTCATTTATAATGCCAAAAAAATGTGTAATCACCTGCCTTCACATATTCGTTCATTGCTAACACAAATCGAGTTTAGAAAGGCAGTAAAAGAGCTATGAATAAAGCCTATTATACCTTGCAAGAATTTTATGAAGACGCATTTAATTAAGTTTGTCAGTTTATATCATTCGTTTTTAATTGTACAATATCTTTTTTCATAGTGTGACTTTCACTAGTATATGTTCTACTTAAATGTTTTGTTCCATATATATGTGCATATTTTACATGATTTTATGTAGTTTTAATTCAGTGATAGCTTATGATACACATGCTTTGTCAACAAAAACTTTTGGTTTTTAGTACAATAAAGACTTTCTTCTTTTTTTTAACTACTTTTGAACATAACTTTTTCGAGGTTAGATTTTTCAGTCCTAATTCAATGTGAACTTGAACACCATTCAATTTTACACCAAAATGATGCTTCTGGTAAAACACGACACTGTGTACCAATCTTACGGAAATTTTTTTGGATTTTTTCGTACGGAATATTATGATTGCTTGATGTGTTTCGCCGAAACGGTTTCGAGATTTTTTCGTTAGCATACTTTATTGACGCGCAACATTATTTTTATGGAAAATAGTTATTTATTATACAAGGGAAAAAAGTAGTAGATTTTAGCTCCAGGTTGTGTTGTCTCCCGACGCGTAGCTGATATTAGGGAAAATTATAAAAACGTCAACTTTCCATAAATAAAGATGATGCGCCTCAATAAAGTATGCTAGTGAAAAAATGTCGAAACCGTTTCGGCGAAACATATCAAGCAATCATAATATGCCCTAGAAAAAAATCCGAAAATTTTTCCAAATGATTGGGATAACTTCGAAAATATTTATTTTTGTAATCGGCCTATTTTTCTCCCTGAAGATCTGAAAACACAAACTTAATGAGAAGAGTTAGCAAACCATCTTGATCTCAAACGATTTTTACACAACATGTAACAATCCGTTCCAGAATTATCGGCATTAATGGAAAATTATCGGCATCAATAGATGGCGATAGATATGAAATATTCGGCAATGAACTGCACTGAATGACCTAACAGCGAAATAAAGTGGATAGGGGCGTCTATTCTTTATTTCTGTCCAATCATTCATTGCAGTGAGTAATCCCTATCAGTGGTTTTTATTCAGATTTCGAATAGGTATGTCGTTTCTCTCCCAATATATTGAATGTGACAGAACACAACACACATTGATGTACCCGAGGATGAAACTAAACTTTGCTGAAAAAATAATCTCGTGAAAACAGTGCAGGTACTTGAGCTAAACTTGAATTACACTGAGTGACATTTTCTCGGAGTTTTCCAAACGGATATGACAGATTTTGAGAATCAATTACCGCCTGAAAAGCTATTGAAACCAAAATACCATAGATGGAATGAGTGATCTCAATTAAGCTATCTACAATCAACAATAATATTCAAACTGAACAAAATCACTCTCAAGAACTCGAAAAAATACCCATATAAGTGTAATCAAAATGAAGAGACGAGCAAAATTGAAAGTAGATACTCTCGTAGATACTTATTCTCGTACTCATCCAAATTCAGATCTACACTGGTTTTCTGAGAACAGTGGTAATCTAGAGAGCTGACACCGTTATATTATTGATATTATGTCCTATGATGGCTCCACCTCAATATAATAAAAAGATTAACATGATGGGCAGTGCGCAATTATAAAAATATATTCCAAACTAGTATTTGAAGGGAATGAGGGCTAACACCGGCTAACACCAGTTGGCGCTACTGAAACATGAGGTCAATTTCAAAGTCAAAAATCCCAAAATTTTGCCGGTAGCCCTAAAAGCTAAGACCTGTTTTATTGAAAATATTCTAAAAAAATGGTGTAGAATATTTGAACAAATATAAAACCTCAAGTTATCGGAAGACGTGAGCCGTCTTTCATTTTTTCACTCCAAATGAGGAACTTTACGACTAATTCTTACATTGTCGGAGAAAAAGATATCATAGCAAAAGGCCAAATGACACGAAAATGAGAAGTATATTCACCAGTTCTACCAACCGTTAGCCCTCATTCATATATTTATTTTTCTAAACAAACAAATTGCTACAAAACATTTCGGATAATTTGAATATTTGAACTGTGGAATTTGAACTATGGAATATTATGGTATTTTCAAACGAAATAGATATGTTCAGAATAATTGTTAAGGGGTATAAAAAACTAGGGGGTATTCTAGTCATAAAATATTGATAATAATTTTCAGCCTTTAGGCATTAGTTGGCAATATTTTGGAGCGTGTCCTCCTCCTCGTTAATTAATAATAATAATAAATAAGTGTCAAAATATTTTTCAGTAGGTTATGGAATGTTTCAGTAGATCAGTAGATCCATTTGCAAATCAGGAGATCTACTAAAAATTCAGAAGAACTGGCAACCCTGTAGACGAAAACTACTTGCCTTTGGTTTTTCGTTGGGAAATTAGATTGTAATTTTTTTTTTGTAGAAGGTCATGAAAAAATATTTTCCTAGTTACGAGGAGATTAGATACTTCTCAGTACCCATTTATACAGGGTATGTCACGATGAGCATACACTATTTTTATATCAAGAATCAGTCGGGAGAAATCCATGAAAATGTGCATGCTTATATTTTAGAATACGCACTCTTAATTGAAAATATTTTGGACAATGCAGTGTTGCCCCTTCTAGTAGAAAGTAGTAGCAACATCGATATTTCAAATGGAACACCCTGTATTTTGTCGTATTTTTAGATTCTCCCTAGAGAGCTGATTTCATCGATACATCACATTTGGGGTCTATCGAAAATGATTACAGAGATATAGGGTGTTCAAAATCGAGATTTTTCAACTTTAGCATTTTTTGTATCCAAACTATTCATTATCGGTCAAAACAGCTTGAATGTCCCTATCTCAACTTTTGATTCACTATACACTGATATTTAATCGGAACAGATACAGGATACAGGGTGGTTCGAGATTCAGAATTTTGATCACCCTGTATCTGTTCCGATTAAATATCAGTATCAGTAAATAGTAAATCAAAAGTTGAGATAGGGACATATGAGCCGTTTTGGCCGATAATGAATAGTTTCCACACAAATAAATCCTAAAGTTGAAAAATCTCGATTTTGAACACCCTATATCTCTGTAATCATTTCCGATAAACCCCAAGTTTAATGTATCGTTGAAATCAGCTCTTCAGGAAGATTCTAAAAATGCAATAAAATACAGGGTATTCTATTTGGAATAACAAAGTTGTTGCTACTTTTTGATAGAAGCGGCAACACTGCATTGCTGAAATTATTTTAAATTGAGAGAGCCTATTTTGAAATATGAGCAGGCATATTTTCATGGATTTCTCCCGACTGATTCTCGATATAGAGATAGTGTAAGCTCGTCATGACATACCCTGTATAGCATGAAATGAAGAAACAGTTTCTTTACAATTCTATAGGTACTACTGGAAATGATGAGAAATCACTATTTTGGATCAAATATCGTTCTCAACACACCAAATGGACCACTCATAATTTGACTCTATTTCGAAGACCTGTATTTTTTTTTAAAATTGACCGATCTTCATGCGGTTTTCGATATCAGATGTGATGTTTCATCAGCTTCAAAGAGAGCTAGAACAATCTGAAAAAGTCCGCAAAACAAAACTCACACAGGGTGTAAAGTGGAACCATTACACTATGGTCTACATTTCCAATGCTGCCAGAACTCGAGACATTTTTTTCTGATCAAAAGTCAGTCATATTATGATACACTGGGACCTCATCTCGGGAAGTTTTCGTGATTTCTCCTTAATTGGCCATTGAAACAAAAATTCGATTTTTTTTCGAAAGTCTTGCATTTCTTGATTTTTTCCTCTAGAACTCCACTTGAGCTGACTATTGGGAAGAACTGTTCTCATGTTTTATGGAGGATAATGAAAGACGAAAAAAGCACTTTTTTGGATTATACAGGATGATAAGAAACTAGGACAAAATCTCATTTCAGTGAAAAAAATCAAAAATGGTGACTAAAACTATGGCCCATTCGATCCAGTATATTCAGAAACGGCCTTCTCGATATCCATTATTTATATTAGACCATTAACTCGAGACGTTTTCGAAAATTCGCCTCTAAATGAAATACAGGATGAAAATTTCCAATTCAAACTTGTTTCCTGATATTGATGATTTCCAATATTTATTGCCCAAGTATGAGACACAGAGTATTGTTGTTCAATGTACTGAGTGTTCTACAACTTATCTGACAAATTTCAACCACAACTACGATATTACATAAGAAGTCTATCACAAAATAAAATTATAGAAGTAAAACGAGATGAAAAATAAAATTTGTAACACTTTATATCCACTAAAACTATTCTAAAAGGGCTCTATTGGCGAAATATGACATTATTGAATTCTTCAGCATTATGAAGATCCAACTAGAAAGTCCTATATCCTAAATTTCAGTACTTGGTAGGCCTCCTCGATTCAACAAAACCTCATGAAATCGGTTTGGTATAGATTTTATGAGGTTGTTGATGAAGTCTATTGATATTGCCGCCCATTCTGGATAAGGTTGTCATTATTTTGGGGTGCCTCGCCTTCTCGATAGGTCAAGTTTCATTCGGCTCCACACATGTTCAATCAAATTCAGATCTGGAGATAATGCTGGTCACCACATTCTTCTAACATTATTGTTTTCTAGAGTTCGTTATTTGTCAGATAAGTTGTGGAACACTCAGTATATTGAACAACAATGCTCTGTGTCTCATACTTGGGCAATTAATATTGGAAATCCGTTGATAAAATGATGGGAATCATCGATATCAGGAAACAAGTTTGAATTGAAAATTTTCACCCTGTATTGTCCTATTTTCTTATCACCCTTTTCGAAAAGTTTTAGTTGATATAAAGTGTTACAAATATTATTTTTTTCATCGCGTTTCACTTCTATTAAATTTTTTTGTGATAGACTTCTCATGTAATATCGTAGTTGTAAAACACTCAGTATATTGAACAACAATTCTCTGTTTCTCATACTTGGGCAATAAATATTGAAAATCATCGATATCAGGAAACAAGTTTGAATTGAAAAATTTCATCCTGTATTTCACTTAGAGGCGAATTTTCGAAATCATCTCGAGTTAGTAGTCTATTATAAATGATGGATATCAAGAAGGCCGTTTCTGAATATACTGGATCGAATGGGCCATAGTTTTAGTCACCATTTTTGATTTTTTTCACTGAAATGAGATTTTGTCCTAGTTTCTTATCATCCTGTATAATCCAAAAAAGTGCTTTTTTCGTCTTTCATTATCCTCCATAAAACATGAGAACAGTTCTTCCCAATAGTCAGCTCAAGTGGAGTTCTAGAGGAAAAAATCAAGAAATGCAAGACTTTCGAAAAAAAATTGAATTTTTGTTCCAATGACCAATTAAGGAGAAATCACGAAAACGTCCCGAGATGAGGTCCCAGTGTATCATAATATGACTGACTTTTGATCAGAAAAAAATTTCTCGAGTTCTGGCAGCATTGGAAATGTAGACCATAGTGTAATGGTTCCACTTTACACCCTGTGTGAATTTTGTTTTGCAGACTTTTTCAGATTGTTCTAGCTCTCTTTGAAGTCGATGAAACATCACATCTGATATCGAAAACCGCATGAAGATCGGTCAATTTTTTAAAAAAATACAGGTCTTCGAAATAGAGTCAAATTATGAGTGGTCCATTTGGTGTGTTGAGAACTGTATATTGAAAATATTGTATTTCAAGGAATTGGAATTATTAGAATTTCATCAGTGACTTGAAAGATATCAGAGAAACCATTACAAAGATCCCCTGTGACGCGTCACTGGATGAGATAAAGATTTTGAAGAGAAAATAATATATGCTAAAATTGACTGAAAAAAATCCAGACATTCTGGAGTTATTCCCTGTAGGTATCTCTGAAATTGAGCACTGGACAATATCATGTATTGGGGAAGACCACTGAGGAAAGAAATCCGTGCAAACCTCTTTCAATCAACGAATCATGATTAACGTTTGGTCTACAATCAATATTATGAGTTGAAGTTGAAGGGAATCGAATCTATATTGTTTTGGAATCAGCATATTTCATTCGTTATTTCGAAAAGCTAAATATGATGGTGGAGCCGTGACGTATTAGTCCCGCACTGTAGCTATCTCTCTCTGATACCTCGTCATTCTGTAGTGTTGCAGTGTGATTGGTGAGTTCAAGGACGATAGGCGTGTTGGGACTAAGACATCGCACCAGTCACACCAATGAATTGACAAAATTTCAAATGGTGCAGGAATTGTGTGTTTTGAAATGGGCATATTCTAATTTATTTTTTTCATCGTCTTAGGATGAATGAAAAAATTCAAAATTAATTCACTGGTAGTTTTTCAGTATAGAGTTCACGGTAATGTCGTTTCCAAAAATCAGTGGTCTCCCCCGAGGAATATCACTTCTGAAGCATTATTGGTCAAATTTCACTACACCCTGTATATACAGTGTGTGCAATTTCAACCAGCAACATACTTCTAATTTGGAACCGGTCAATGGATTTTCAAAAATGAAAATTTCATAATATAGTAGCCAATAAGTTCTCTTCGCAAATGTGGATAAATCTATAATATTCAGATTGAAATGGTCAAAGTTTCGAAAGGGACTATAAGGCTTTTTTTGAAAAGTGATTAACCCATTCCATTGAGGCATAGCTGAAACCCCCATACAAAATTTGAAAGCAATATCTCATATAGGGTGTTACTTAGTCAAACTAACACCACTGGATAAAAAAATTCCTTATCTATCTAAGGAAAGAATAAGATTTTGATTTGACATTTTCCCTGACAAACTTTATAGACATAAAGGGGGTTCAAAAAGTATAAATTTTCAAAATCGCCCAGTATCTCATAAACAGAAACAGTTATGCAAAATCTGATTGTGCCATCTTGAGTTTCACAAAAAAGTTGCACAGGACTGACCACAAAAGATTTTATCTCAAAAGATAACTGAGATATTATCATGCAAAAGCATGAAAAACTGGATACACTGTACTACAGTTAATTTTTAAATGAATAACTATAAGAAATCTTACTTTTTTTTATATAGTTCAGTACCTAAATTGACTCTTCAGCATTTTTGGGCCGTTTTGGGTCCCACCAAACCAAGAGTATTTCTTCAACCTTTTACATACTAAACTCACTTGAAAATCTAATCATTTACCATTGATACGTACAACAACATCCTTTATTATTCTCCTCCGAAGAATATCCTCCTCTTTGAAATGCTTTTCGCAAACAAAATCTTTGGGAGTGATAGGTCTGTCATCTCTAGCTATTGCTTCTTGCCACTTGCTGAGGAAGAAATCATCATCTGGTACTTTATATAGCGCTGCCTTTTCTTTGCACTGTCGATAACCAGTATAACAATGGGGAACTGAACATTTTCTTCCCATTATTTTTGTCACTACTCGGCTATTAGAATTTCAAAATTCGAATAATTCAAATTCAAAACTCATACCATTACATACAAATACAAATAATGTAAACAAACAAAAGTGACATGTGTAGTAATTCGAAACGACACGGTGGACAGGTGACATTAGGGTCCCTTGATGGAAATTGACGTTAAAGTCATCTAACAGGGTATGGACAGATCATAGCTGCATTCTTTTTTAATGATCTAGAGACTTTAGTTTTGTCTACTGGCATCCCTGACATTGCTGTCACGTCACATCCATGGGCGCTACAGAAAATCATACCAAATTTTAATGATAGGTATGTACAGGGTATTCACTCGTTGAGGAAGATCATATTGCGAACGAGTTTTGTACTTATGATCCGATTCTATTCAAGATTAGAAGATATCTGGAGTTTTCCGGGGTTGGAGATAATGATTGTTTCGTCAAACTTGGAAAATTCAAGATGACGGATCCAATATATAGCGAAAGAAATTTCTAACTATGGTCTGATTGTATTTGAGATTAATATCTGAGGGTTTTCGGGGTCGAACTTCATGATTTTTTGTCAAGATTGGGAAATTCTAGATAGCGGATCCAATGAAAATCAAAATTGGTATCTGGGGATTTCCGGGGTCGGGGATTATAATTATTCCGTCAGAATTGGGATATTCAAGATGGCGGATCCAATATGGTGGACGAGTTTTGTAATGAAGGTACGATTCTATTTAAAATTGGTATCTGGAGGTATTCGGGGTAGGAGATAATGATTGTATAGTAAAAATTGGAAAATTCATGATGACGGATCCAATATGGCGAAAGACATTAGTTTATATAATTATTACTCTACCAAACATAGAAAATATGTAGGATGCAAGAGTGAAAATAGCGTGCCTATAAGTTATACTGCATGCGCATACCTACTTCTTTGTTACTTTCATCAATAAATTATTCGAAAATGACTTTTTATTTAGATACCCACATCGAAGTTTCCACCATCTCTCCATCATGAGGCTCTGCTCATTCAGCTCATAGATAAACTACTGCTCAGCTTGAAATCAGAATTCATTCAGTCAATTCAGTCAACCCTGGTATACAGTCTAAGAACAGTCTCTTTTGGTGAAATACATTATAAGGTTTCAGTACAATTTATATGTTGCCTACCTCGCAAAGATTATGCTGGAGTAGTAAACTCTAAAGCCAGAGGATTGTTCATCTATATCTTGGTATAGTTGAATCAGGAATTTCATATGGAAATTACGTATGATACGCCAGTGACCTCAATATAACCTAAAAAACAACGAATGTCAAAAATCTAGTGTTTATCCCCAGAATTGAATAAGGATGGAACTATATAACTGTCCTTACCCTGTTAAGATGACTTTAACGTCAATTTCCATCAAGAGACCCTAGGTGACATGCAGTGGGACTCTGTAACTTGTGTCGCATAGCGAAAGCGTAACGAAAGCGAAACGAAGCGAAGTATACGACTTCGCTTTCCGGTACTCTATATGTAGTTCGTTATGCTTTCGCTATCGTCATACGATTTCATACGGAATAGAACGAAGTTGGTGGAGTTAAATTTGGCAACAGTGTTGCGGATCCCATTTATTCAAAGGAAACATCCCATTGGATCAAAAAAGCGGCATTTATGAATTATTGTATTGTTAATTTTTGGTTTCAATCAGAAATAAAGCACTTGGAGAAGTTTCCGAGAGAAAATATATTCAATAAAACATCAAAAACACATATGAAGATGATTTATTTCTATGAATTGGAATGAATGTATTGACTACAAACAGATATTGACATCAAGGCCAACAAAAATAGTAATCAGCCAAACAAGAACTTATTCTGCACAGAGCAGCTCATTGGAAAATATTATGTACCTACTTTGTTCATATAAAAAATTGGTATTTATATTCTCACTATAGGTATATCTCAGGTATAGCTTTCTATTTATATGCAACTAGTAAAGGCAAATGATCTGAGAATAACAATAATATTGTAAGATATGTAACTGCTTATATCTATAATGGCCATATCATTCTATAATCTAACACTCAGTATATTATTATTTACATACTATAATGTAATACCTATCAGAACTTGCTTCTCTATGTCACAAATTAAACAAGATGATAAGCACATATAATTCCTTGAATCACCTTCTGCAAGGCAGCTTTATATTGACAGTGCATATATACAGATGCACTTTTTCTTACAGTTCACTTTAGAATCTTGGATGAAATTATTAATGTAGTGAAAGTAGAATCCTTTCTTGTTCTTGTTCAACATAGTAAATAATGTTCAGTTAATCCTGCTTCATGGAATTTACTCTTGATTCTCCCTTATTGGTACCTACACAGTAATATTACACAGTTCTTCTTGGGTGTCTCCAAGGTTTTTGCTATCCAAATTATTTTCCCTTCCAATGCACTTATTATGCAAATTCCTCAAATTTGAACGTTCCAAGCTTTCTGTTATGTTTCACTGTTGTAGGTATCGGCATATTATATAAGTAGGATTCTTTAATTACCTATAATTGTCTTCTTCAATGGACTCACACCAAAGACATATTTTTCTTAACAAGGATTCAGTGAGACAACATTCAGTAATGGCACATTTCATTTTTTGGAGAAGCTACTTATATCTGCCTGTTTTGATGTATCAGGAATCTAAAAGAGAAGGATAATTTGAATGAATGAATGAAAAATGAGCTGTATGTTTTCATCACACTGTCTATCATATTTTTTATCTCACGTCTCACGTTCTTTCATCGCCTACCTTAATCCTACCAAAGGGAACTTCCATCTCTCTGGAATATCTTTAGGATGTTGTTCGTAAAACTGAGGAATCTGTCCCACTGACTGAGTTGTGTTTTTGCTCGCTTTGTTATCCATGTTTGGGTTCATTCCTCATTTATTAATCTATTATTTTTCTCAAATCAACACGAAGTTCGAACTAGGAACAACAACAAAAACCAATACCTATAACCTCAATCGTTGAGAATCGCAGAAAGCGACGGAAAGCGACAACCAAAATCCTTCGCTTATGCTTCGCTTACGAACTCACGTTCGGCGTCTCCGACCTCATCCGAATATTGATACAGAGTACCGAAACGGCAAAAGCAGTCGATTACACATGCTTTCGCTTTCGCTTTGAGTTACAGAGTCCCACTGATGATCTCATTCAGCACAAATTCAAAACTACCTGAATTGGTCTATCTAGAGACAGGACGCAACAAGTATTCCACGCGGAAGCTTGAGCGGGCAATGAACTAATTATATAAACAACTGCGCGGGACAATGAACTCAATATATTGAGTTCATTGGCGCGGGAACGTCTCGTTTGACCCAATTTTAGATTCGCCCAATTTTCGATTCGCCCGATTTTTGATTCGCCCAATTTCCGAATCACCCACCGTCTCCGAACATACCCGAAAGATGCGTTGTCAAATTTCCTCGGATTCAATGAAACGGGAATTATCAACAATCATTTCACATTCAAATATGTCGTTGGGCCAAAATTTCGTTTCACCCAATTTTCGATTCGCCCAGTTTTCAATTCCCTCAATTATCGATTCACCCAATTTTCGATTCACCCAATTTTCGAGGTTTGGTAGTTTGGAAAAGGTAGTCTCCTTCATGCAGAAAAGAATATTTTCCTTCCTTATATTACGTCAAAATTCGGGCGATCGAAATTTGGGTCTATGGAAATTTGGGTGAATCGAATTTGGGGCGAATTGAAAATTGGGTGAATCGAAAATTGGGCAAATCGAAAATTGGGCGAATCGAGAATTGGGTGAATAGAAAATTGGAGAAATCGAAATATGTAACATATATACATACATATATTCGGGTATATTCGGAGATGGTGGGCAATCGGAGATGGTGTGCAATGGAAAATTGGGCGAATCAAAAATTGGGCGAATCAAAAATTGGGCCAATCAAAAATTGGGCCAATCGAAAATTGGGCCAGTCGAGAATTGGGTGAATCGAAAATTTGGCAAGGGGTGTTTCTCGCTAATAGAAAGTTATGCCTTTATTTTTGACATATCAGCCTTAAGCGGCATTCACAATCAAACTTTTTACGTTTTGCTTCTTACGTTTCGTATTCTGATTGGTGAAGCAAAATCTGTAATTGAAATGACGCAAAAAGCTGAAAATAATATTCAGCATTTTGCATTGCAAGAAGCCATCGTCTGTGAAAATAGTAAAAATAGAGAAATGATATTGTTATTAAATAAGAAAATACTACTGTAAGTTCTGATTCGAATGGAACAATACATGTAAGGTACAGGGTATCCCAATTTGGGCACTTTTGCGGGGTATCTCCCTTATCAGTAAAGATAGAGCATTGCGGTTTTCGCGACAGTGTGCTACTTTTTTATGAAATTAATAATGGCGCGAGCAGAATTGTGATAGCTCTTCCGGTTGTCGAGATACAGGGTGGAATTGAAAAATATCACTTTTCAGGCACCCTCCGTGTCTCAGTTATCTTTGAACTTATCGAAGAAGTTAAAACTTGTTTTCATAGAGTTTTTCTCGTAGAATCCAGTGGCGTAGGTATTTTTTTGCTAGCACCTTTTGTTTTTTAGTTATGGAGCAAACATATGTTTTTTTAAATGGAACACCCTGTATATTATTTCATATATACATTGAGCATGAAGTGGGCTTTCCAAAAATATATAATTGTATACAATTATTTTCCATTTAAAAAAACATATTTTTGCTCCATAACTAAAAAACAAAAGGTGCTAGCAAAAAAATAACTACGCCACTGGATTCTACGAGAAAAACTCTTTGAAAACAAGTTTTAACTTCTTCGATAAGTTCAAAGATAACTGAGACACGGGGGGTGATATTTTTCAATTCCACCTTGTATCTAGCCAACCGGAAGAGCTACCACAATTCTGCTTGCGCCATTATTAATTTCATAAAAAAGTAGCACACTGTCGCGAAAACCGCAATGCTCTATCTTTACTGATAAGGGAG